TAATAGAGTCAATATCAGAATCGTTCACATAAGTAAGTGGACGTGAATTCAAAATAGCCTCGATCTGGGTAAGTAGCGTTGACAACTCTTCGTAGGTTAAAAGAGTGTCTTTCAATACTCTTCTCAGATGAAATTTCGCTGAGCGAATGCCGGCTTCCCATATTCCTCCGAAGTGGGGCGAAGCAGGCGGTATAAAATGCCATTCAATAGATGACTTAGTTAGTTCTCGGGAAACCGAGTCTGTTGCATACAAGGAAGACCAAATCTGATTTAGTTCTTGTAGTTTTCGGCATGCACCCACAAAATTGGTACCGTTGTCACTGTAAATGTGCCATGGCGTACCGCGACGTGAAATGAAACGTCTAAGTGCCGCGATAAACGAGTCTGCCGTCAGGTCACTGACAGCTTCTATATGCACAGCTTTAGTCGACAAGCAAACAAACAGAGCTATATAGCCTTTCATTGTTTTAGAGCCACGACCCTTATTAAATTTCATGGTAATAGGACCAGCATAATCCACACCAGATGCATAAAAAGGTCGTTCCAAAGTCACATGATGTTCAGGTAAGTCACCCATCAATTGCAGATTTGGAGCAGCTTTAAATCGATGACACATTAAGCAATGGTTGACACAACTGTGTATCAGTTTCTTTCCTCCAATTATCCAGTAAGATTGCCTGATGAGGTGCGATAATAAAGAAGGACCAGCATGAAGGTAAGTAATATGAAGTTCTTTCACTAGTAATTTGCTAAATTTATGTCGAGAAGGAAGTATGACAGGATGTTTGATGTTAAATGCTAAAGATGAATTTTGAAAATGTCCTCCCACCCGTAAGAGACCATCTTTATCTACGAATGGATACAAAGAACGTAGTTGGCTCTTCTTGGGTAAAGGTTTCTCTTCTTTAATACATTGTAAATCCTCTTTGAAATAATGATTCTGAATCCAACGAATAATGAAATTTTCTGCTAATCGAATCTCTAGAAATGTTAGCGGCATAAGGCAGCTGGAGTTAATACCACTACGTGAAATGTTTTCAGTAACATGATGCTTCTTGCAATTAGTAATAAATCTTTGGCAGTAAGCCAAAGTACAAACAATTTTACAACGCGAAGAATAATGCTCGAACAAATTAGCTAATAAATCATTCGATTCACGTATATGAGAAATAAAAATAGGATCAGATCTTTGTTCAGCCTTTATTTCAGTATCATCTTCAGATTTTAATTCATATTTAGGCCATTTTTCCTCTTCCTGACGCAACCATGGTGGACCATTCCACCACAAAGTACAATTTGGTAGGAGTTGAGTTTCAATACCACGAGAAGCAATGTCTGCAAGATTCTGTTTAGAGGGAACATGATTCCAATGTTTAATAGGTATCACTTCTATGATTTGAGATGTTCTGTTTGCCACAAAAGTTTTCCACTTACGTGGATGAGCTGATAGCCAAGACAGAACGACCTTGGAATCCGTCCACGCAAAGATTTCAAAATCAAACTTCTTTAAAATGTTCAATAGTGATCGCATTAATCTGGTCAACAAATACGCAGCACAAAGTTCTAATCGAGGAATGGATACTTGCTTTATAGGCGCAACTTTAGTCTTTGATACCAAAAGATTAACCTTAACTGTACCATTGCATTTTTGGTGACAGTAAATGGCTGCTGCATAGGCCTGCAAAGATGCATCAGAAAATCCATGTAGTTGGATAACACTGTCCGTTGTATTACACATCTCGGAATTTCACAATTATTCATTTGACTGAATGTCTCTTGAAATTTAAACCAATCATCTGACATATGCTGGGGAACAACTGAATCCAAGTCGCCTTTAACTAACCATAGCTTTTGATAGAATATTTTAATCAATATAGTGCAAGGAGATAAGAGACCTAAAGGATCGAAAATGCGAGCAGCTTCTGCTAATACGTGTCTTTTTGTTATAGGTGCGTTGATGTGCAGTGTAGCTTTAAAACTAAAGGTATCAGTAGTTGAATTCCAAAAATGTCCTAAGACTTTCGAACTCGAATTAGGAGATATCTCAAAATCAGAATTCAATGAACAATGTTCCTTAAATTCAGTTAAGAATTCTACAGAATTTGAATTCCACTTCCTCAAATCAAAACAACGTGCATGTAAAATTGAAGATATTTTCTTGCAGACAGATACTGCATCATCAACTGTATTTGCACCCGACAATAAGTCGTCCATATACATATCCTCTTGCAATATACATCTGATTCCTCTTTAGATTCTAAAGCTACCTGCTTCAGACATCGAGTTGCTAAAAATGAAGCAGAGCAAAGACCATACGTAACTGTTTTCAACTTGTATGTACGCATTTTGTCACTGGAATTGTATCACCAAAGTATCAATTGATAATTCTGATCTTCTAGGGCTACCATCACCTGACGATACATCTTCTCCACATCGGCTGTGAAAACAATTTTAGGAAATTGAAAATTAATCAAAATCTCAAAAATATCTCTTTGTAATTTCGGACCTACCCCTAAAAGAGAATTCAATGATATACCATTTTCAGATTTACAAGATGCATCAAAAACTACTCTTAATTTTGTCGTTGTGCTGGAAGGTTTAATGACTGCACGATGAGGAAGATAAAACTTTTCTGTATCCGATCTGTTAGATAAATCATCATTAATCACAGTCATATGTCCTAACTGTTCATATTCATGTATGAAATCTTTATACTGTTTTTCAAATTCCGGATTATCTTTGAATTTTTCGTTCCATGGAACGCAACCTAGAAATTGCTGCCGGTTTTGAATCACCCAACTTCAAATGCGATTTATAAAATGGAAGTTTTACAACAAATCGCCCATCTGAATTAACAGAATGAGTGTTTTGAAAATGTGATTCACAAAATTGTTTCTCAGGTGTCAGAAATTCCTTTTTCCCAACATCGACAATATCCTCCATTTCCCAGAAACCCTTAAGTTTGTAATCAATATTTATATTATCTTCTAGCTTTATGAAGTGTGCATTTGCTGTTCTGGGGCCTTCCATATTATTTCCGACCTTCCCAGCAATCACCCAACCGAAAATAGTATTTTGAGCTACAGGCTCATTTTTCAAACCATATATTTGGCCACATCTTAAAACGGAGAAAAAATAATCAGCTCCTAAAATCAAATCAATTTCTTTGGGTTGAGCAAAATTCAGATCCGCTAACGGAATAGATTTAGTGTATTCTATATGCTTTACATTAATGACTTGTTCCGGCAATGGCAAAGTTAACCTATCCAAAATGTACGCGTTAACATCAATTACTTCATTTTTAGATAAATCGGAATAAATAGTATTCTGAAGCCTTGTGAAGGCCGCTTTTGCCCTACCACGCAATCTATTGACAGTAGCTTGATCCATAATAATTAATCGAAGTATTCAAGTTCAAAATCAAAATCAACACAAAATATATATAAAACTTCAAAAATCAAATTTAGATGTAAATCGAAATAAAAAGCACTTATCTGTACTTGAAATGCTGACGAATCCTTGATCTGATCTCGCCGGTGCCTCCAGAAATTTGTTTACGTTCCTCGTATTAGAATGGCACCGACATGGATGACGCAGTTTCGGTTTTAAATATCCTTAATACATTCAACGACTCTTGGTGTATTTAAATCAAACTGAAGACATTTAATAATATACATTCACACGTAAACATTTAGTAATAATTCAGCAGTACAGATAAGCATAAAATAGGAATTACAACCATTACAGGCCAGCTACGCTTTTAGCGACGGAATTCTACGAACGACAAATCTCAAAAGCGTGTTGCCAACGCAGGGTAACGAAAAGGTAGAAATTAATTCGATAGGTGTGGAAGTGAACAGTAATCTTATAGAGAGTTATCTGTATCCTGTAAAAAAAAAATGCACACTGTATGTTTTAAATTATCTTTTTTTATCACTTAACCCTTCAACATATGGTTTGGCTCCCAAATTTCCAAAACTGCAAAAGAGAAAAAAAAATTTTTTCTTGATTATAATACCAAAATGCACCTAGTACTTTACTCTTGAATTCTTTTAATACACTGCCTTAATTTCTTGAGTGTGTTTCATGGTGCACATATATACTTATCTGCTCTTGACAAATAAAAACCTTTCCTTATATATTAAATTCAAATGATTTCCTATGTATAACACTTGATCAAACATTTTTCTACATCAGCAATAAAATATTGTTAGACTTCCTCTTTGAAATTATAAAAATTACTAATTACTAACATTATTACTAATATTTGGGATCCTTCATGCAAGAATATTCATTAACTCTACAGTGCTATAAGTACCCCACTAAACAAAACACCCATATATTTTAACTACTCAAAAATTTAGATAAGACAAAATACTTTTTAATTATAGTTTATTATAAAAATAAAGCCAACTGTAAAAATATAAGTATAAATTAGATTTCAAAATAATGACAGAAATTTTGTTATGCCTTACGCCTTAATATTAATTTATTTTAGAATTTTTTTAACATATATTTTTGATATTCAGTTAACAAACATCCATTTCTAAATATTAAAGTGATATAATTCAGAAACAATATTTTTGCATAAGGGGCAATAAAAATTATTGCATTTTTATTAATGAGGTAAGCTACCACAAAGATGCATGTTTGAGAGTTACTGATTTGCAGACAATATTATGCAAATATATATATATATATATATAGTTCATACATTTAAAATGTGGGTTTTAAAATTAGTTAAACAAATTATATTACTACTAAAAGCCAAATTAACTTGTTTGATTTTTCTTATTGCACACTTTTGTACTTAAACCTATATAATCATTAGACATTTAATTTTTACACATTTTTTGTTTGCACTACAACATTCTTGATGCAATTAAGTTGCTAAAACTTCCATGTTCTCAAACACATAAAAGAATATACAGTGCACTGTGAAAAGGTAACAAAAATAATTAACAGCTAGTTAATAAATTAATGCATGACAAAACAGAAAGTATGGTATAATATACCATTAATTTATTATGAACTTATCAAAAAAACCATCAACAGCTTAAAATGTAACTATAATACACATCATTTATATTCCTTTTATAACTTCTTCAACTTCTTCTTTAAGAAACATATGGTAACCTTGCTCTTTAGTTATTGTAGCAACCTATACAAAGAAACAGCAAACTGTCAATAGCTGAAGAAACACAATAATCTAGTAAAAATATATTACATTCAAATATTATTAGTCATTTGTACTCCACTGGCACACTATTTCTGCATCAAAATTCCATTGGTACATTACAGAAGCATATTTATTATATAATGTTACTGCACATTCACAGTCAACATCATCATTCCACTGTTACATCTACAAAGTGCATGAAATCATGACAAAGCTATTCTGTATTTTTTCAATCCATAAAAGCACATTAAAAGAAAACTCACGGCTATTTTTTACCCATAAATGAATAACAACCCCACAGCATTAAAAGAAAACTCACAAAAATTAAACCTTTACAAAACTAAGCATTTTTATGCCGTTGTGTGATATTATAAGCACCTTTTAAAAATTCTCATAAAATTTTACTTTAAAAAGTTGGTACTTTTCTTTAATGGGACCCATACACATGCACTGATAATTCAGCAAATTAGAGATTTTAATATATCAGATTATTAAATTAAATTGTATTATACTGGCATAAAATTTTGTGTATGTTTATTGCTGAATATATATAGCAATGTAAAAAAAATTGCTTATAGTAATTCTGAAAATATATTTGATGATTAAAAACTTTTCACTAAATAAATTTACTCACAGTTTAATATTTAATCAGTTTCTACATTGAAATCTTTATTCTAGGAAATGAACTTCTTTAATTATCCATTTGTTTCACACATTCTGCTTTTTTTGGGTGGGGAGAAGAAAAAGGAGAAAATTCACATAATGTGGCTATTCATTATTTCTTCAATATTATATATATATATATATATATATTCAGTAAATTTCACATATGCATTTAATGCTTGTCACTCACATTTCTTTTTGAAACCTTCAAAAATGGATATTTTAGAAGTAGAAGATGTAGACAGAAAATGCTGTCTCCTCTTTCTACTCTTTGATTTTATATGTAATATAAATATAAAATTTCGATGTTTCAATATCAAATATCTAGTTTCAATGGTATTACCGAACCATCATCCTCAGCTGCAAAAGCGCAAATGAACAAGATAAGATATAGTGATAATATATATCTAATAAGTTACATAGGAAATAGATTTTGCAGCTGAGGATGATGGTTCGGTAATATCATCGAAACCTGTGAAAATTTCAAAATACAATGCTAATTTTTGTTGTTTGTCGTCTAAATGAATACTTGTTCGCCGTGTTATTGTACCTTAATCCTCAGATAGCTTATACTTCATACTTTTCACTATATTTGATAAGTTATCTAATAGAATGGGGCACAATAAAACTACCAAAGCTTATCGCATTTTATTATTTTTAATGATCAAACATAAAACCGGCATCACTTCTACGCGCTACTCTCAACAGTGCATCAAAAGAAACTTTTCTCAGAAAGTTGGGTTTTGCGTATCTTATTGGCTGACTTCTGTGAAAACCAGTTAATTTCGGTGGGAAAAGCTATGAGGGACACAAGTTTCAGCAAGACCATTTTCATCTCGATTCTAAAATCTATCACTCAGTTACACAGGACATAGATTCCAGCAATACATGTTTCAGCTAGGAACACTCCAATGGTAGGAGGAGGTGGAGATCATTTCTCAAAAAAGTTTCATCTATTTATGTATCGATAGATGTGATATCCCCCATAAAAATTTACTATACTCTCAGATTATCTTCACAACCCTCCCACAAAGTTGCCAATCGCTGGCAATTCATTTTTCAACAACCTTAACTTTTGAAAAACAGTATCCACTTCAAAAATTACATAAAACAGCAATGAATTAATAAACTTTAAAATGCAAGAAACTTCCATGAAGAAAAACTTTTCTTTTTCCAGCCTTCTGCCCAAGTGCACAGCAATATATTTTACCTTTTAAAAAAAATTAAAGAACTGCAAATTTTTGGCATTACAGAGGAATTTGGCACTGCTTTTTCTCTCTATATATACACATTGACCTGTTTTAACTTAAAAAAAACAGAGAATTGCAACCCGTGCAACCATCAATGGGTTGCCAGATAAATAAATTTTTGTAAAATTCTGGGTTGCCTACTTTGGCAATGAAATGCTTTGTCTAGTTATTCTTGTCAGAGCTGAGCAGATAATCAAAGAGTACTGAATTTACATATCTAAATAGTCCTAAATATAACATTACACTGTTAAAAAATACATTAACTTACTTCAACATTAGAAGAGTTCAATTTTTCTTCCATAACTTGCTTTAATATCTTGAGGGCTAGTTTCAAGGCTTCATTTAAAGTCATTCGCTAAAATAAACATACATATTAAAAATATGTTTAAGAAACAATTTTAAAATACTTATGCATAAAAATGGATAATATAAAATCTGATAAAGCCTATTTAATTCATTCACTGACATTACATTTATAGATTGCTTAATGCAATCAATACCTTTATTTCAGTCTTCCAAAAAATATAATACAACTCGGTTATTACATTCAACTCAATCAGTTATCTGCAGTACTTCATTAAAGTCTTTGTATTTGATTAGCTTCTACATAAATTCTAATACATATCTTTAGAACATTCTAACCATTACATCAGGGGGGAAAAAAGCCATATGGTAGATAATTACAACTATTACAAGATATAATGGGTCAGGTAAAGATCTTACAGTAGGTTTCCTCGGCTGAAGAAGCCTTCACAGATTGTCATTAGCAAGTAAATATAACATACAGAATATAATATTTTTTCACAAACTTGTTTACAGTGGAATTAATCACAACATAGGAAATTATAACATTATCTGGTAGGCTGAGGAAAGAAAGTAGATTCATAAAAACAAAAGACGGCTTATCGAGAATCAATCAAGGTTAATCAGAGAAAAGGGCAGCTGTAACATAGTTTTACAGTCGATGTGATAATAAGTTAATGCCATCGCAATTTTTAAACAAGGTGTTTTTCTTATGATCAGATATAAACAAGAACACTTAGATAAAATCTAACACTGCTCACAGTTTTTTTAATATAGATTTTTTAATTAAACAAAATTAAGCTTTATATTGGACATTGAATTTTTAAAAAAATGCTCTATGCATGCACAGAGAATATAACACAGATCTCTTTCTTCCCCCCCCAAAAAAAAAAACTTAACATCATTCAGTACAAGATTTCTGTTCTTTAATGCACACATTTTTATACACTATTGTTTGCGAAAATTGCAACACCATAAAGGGATTATGCAAAATGAACCAAATTTACAAGAAATGTAAAATGAGGTAACACATGCAAATGATAAGAATTACACAGCGATTGCACATGTGTGGAATGAGAACCGCTGATTTTTCCATATACGAGGGCCATCCAGGAAGTAGATTACGTTTCCGTCTGTGTCCGCTAGGGGCGGGGCTAGCGCGGCCATCTTGGGGTCAGAGCGTTGCGCAGCTCAGTCTGCATCTAGCCGTGCTAGTGAGAGGTTCGTGCTGTGCTCCGTTCAGATACTGTGACGGTTTGAAATGTCTGCGTTAATTGAAAATCCCGCGAGCTGCGAGGTGCGCTCAGTAATAAGGTTTCTGACTGCAAAAAACTGTAAAACCGATAGAAATCTATCGGCAGCTTCGTGAAGTGTATGGGGACAACATTATCACTGAAGGTGGAGTGCGTCAGTCATAAGATTTCAAAATGGCCGAACCAATGTTCACGACGAAGATCGAAGTGGGAGACCCAGCATAGTGACCGCCGAACTTCTCGAAAAAGTCGATGCTAAAGTCCGTGAAAATCGAAATTTCACAATAACGGAACTTTCTTTGACTTTTCCACAAATTTCGCGAAGTTTGTTGCACGAAATCATCAGCGAAAAGCTTGGTTACCACAAGTTTTGTGCAAGATGGAAGGCAAGAAGAGGTAACGAAGTGGTTGAAGGCGCAGGCGGCCGAATTTTTCGACGAAGGAATTTCCAAGCTCGTACATCGCTACGATAAATGCCTTAATTTGTATGGTGACTATGTAGAAAAGTAGTATTTGAGTGTGGCTTTCATCTGTATATAATAAAATTTGTTTCCTATACTTTGTTTATTTTTTTATTCCAAAACGTAATCTACTTTCTGGATAGCCCTCGTATATAAAGGACTGTTAAGTTGTATTGAAACCTGTTTATCATCTTCTGTAGCGGTGAACATTTAATTATGGTCAATATGCCTCGTCAACAGTGGAAGGTGCCATACCGGGAAGTAACGGAGTAACCAAGAACTTACGAAGGCAACATCGTGGGTATGCGAGAGGGTGGACTTTCATATCGAGCAATCGCAGCTTACGCACAGCATAATGCCACAACAGTGATGTGTGTTTGGAAGAAATGAACAGAGAAAAAACAAACAAGGTAAAATACTGGTAGTGAAGCACAATGGCATAAAACAACAGTTAATTCATCTACATGGCTCTAACGGATTATACATCTTCTCAAACGTTAGTACAACGTTGAACTGCTACAGGTGCTATGTTTATAGCTCACAGTTCGACACAGTCTGCTGCAGCATGAAACTGTGTGCAAGTGTTCCACTACTCAGGATTCCTGTTGCTGAATCACAGATGCCTCCGACTTCAATGGGAACGGCAACACAGCGTGTGGCATACCTTGTGGCAACCAGTTGTTTTCTCCAATGAATATCTCTATAATTTAGACTACAATGATGAAAAAGTACGATATTACAAAAGGGAACGTCAGCTCCCATAAAGTATTATCCAGCATCATACCGCACAAACACCTCGCATCATGGTGTGAAAAGCTATTGAGTATAATTGTCGATCCCATTCAATGCAGATGGCGGGCAACCTCAACAGTTATATCTACATAAGGGAAAGTTGTGAAGCCAGAAGTCCTCTCCATTGTTCAATGCAATACAGACGCTGTATTTCAGCAGGATAATGGCCCTGCATATGTTTTTCAGACTGCACAAGGGCTTCTTTAGGGCACAACAGGTTTTGCTTTCCCCAGCCTGCTTATTCCCCGGATATGTCACCCATTGAGCATATATGGGATTTCATCGGTCAACGACTCGCTCATACAGCTGGTGGGGTACACACTAAGGCTGAACTTTGGTGTCAAGACAAAGCCATATGGAAAGCCATTCCCTAGGATTACATTCAGAACCTGTATGATTCAATGCCACAAAGTATACAAGCTCTCATCGCTCAGTATGGCGGACATACAAAGTACTGATTTCCAACATATGTTTTGTTTTTTTGTCTTGTAAATGTAATCTCTCTCTCTCTCTCTCTTTTTTTTTTTTTTTTTTTTAACCACTATCAGTAATAAGTAGAATAAATTTCATTCATTTCTGACAATCCTCCTTGGTGCATTTTTCACAAACATTACTGTAGACACTTAAAGCAACCTCAAAGCAAACAGAAATTAATAAATCTGACAAAATCACTAGAAGCTCAGGGGTTAAGAGGGCTGGCTGCCTATCCATGCTGTACACTTCTACAGTTAGCTGAGATCTCGCAACTTAGAATATATTCAGGTTACAAACAAAACAGCTGAACTCTAAAGAAAAATTCATATACAAAGCTAAGATAACACAATGTTACTGCACTTCCTCATTCCTTGCACTGCTTTTTAAGAGTACAATTCTGGATGGTACTGTTGGATTGCCTAGTTTTGCTGATCCTATTGGTTCGTTAGCAATTCTTTTTATACTTTCTAATGTACTAAAATTATCCAAAAATACTAAAATGCTTTCATACTAAAATTACTTTTAAATAATGAATTGTGTTTCTAACTAAAATATATCTTTAAATGGTGAATTATGTTTCATTAAAGGCTTCAATATTTTTCAGTTTAAATCATGAGTTAAATTACAATATCTTTCCAAAAATATATAAAAACCTTATTCAATAATTATTTGTTACCTTCCTCTTTTCCTTTCAGTTTACTAAAAGACAGTACATAATCACTGTGGATTGTTTTCGTTTATTTTATATTTAAGCCCTCAATTTGGCATAAGGCAGTGCAAATTCTCATTCCATTAAGCAAAAGTTGTGTAAACTAACTGCCAAAAGCATTCCTTAAAAATCCTTACCTACAGCTGAATTTTAGACTATTTTAAAGATTAAATTGATGTTCTTCTTTTACGTATACACTGGTGTGCAAAAATTAAGGACGAAGTCGAAAAATTAGCATATCAGCTGAACGAAGAGGCAGAGCGGACAGAAAGACCACTTAGGAGATTAAGTAAGGTTATGTACGGTAACACATGCGCAGATATGCAGGTAGACGTAATGGGGGAGTGTCTGAGTAGTATAAAAGCATGTTGTCGGTGTAAGATCAGTAATTCTGGCAAAGACATTGCACGCCGTATAGCAGTAAAAATCACACCGAGTTGCTGCCTCAGCGAGAAATGGCGAATAATCAATCTGTTAGAGGACATCTGGATGCTTTTACCCGAGGTCGAATCATTGGGAAGTTGGAGGAAGGCCGCAGTGTGACAAGTGTGGCTGCAGAGTTCGGAATTGCTCACAGCATCGTTTCACGACTTTGGAGACAATTTCAAACTACAGGAACATCTATCCGGGGGTTTAGTAGTGGTCGTCCACGAGGAACCACACCCGCAGATGACTGGTATATTGCCTTACAGGCCAGAAGAAACAGGCGGCAGACAGCGGGAGAAATCGCTAGACACACGACACAGGCGACTGGACGACCGATATCGCGTTTTACCGTGGCCAGAAGACTGCACGGTAGTGGTCTGTTTGCACGACGCCCTGCACGGTGTGTAGCTCTAACGCCTGCCCATCGGAGAAGGCATTCTCTGTGGTGCCGGGAACACTGGAATTGGAGAGACAATGAATGGGGACGAGTACTCTTTACAGATGAGAGCAGACTGAGTCTGAGTAGCGATTCTCATCGCATACTCATCTGGACAGAGCGGGGAAACTGCAATCATCCCTTGAACATCATTGAAAGGGACAGGTATGGAGGTGGCGGTGTTCTCGTTTGGGGAGGCATCATGCTTGGTAGTCGTACAGACCTTCACATCTTCGACGCAGGTTCAGTCAACGGGACCCGTTATTGTAACGAGATTCTTCTTCCATATGTTCGTCTTTTTAGAAGAGCTATGGGTCCGCAGTTCCTTTTCATGGACGACAATGCACCATGTCATCGCACAGTAGCTGCCGAACAGCTCTTAGAGAGTGAGGATATTGAACGTATGGATTGGCCGGCACGATCTCCGGATCTCAATCCCATCGAGCATGTATGGGATTTTCTAGGCAGATGCTTGGCAGCTCGTACCTTACCACCAGTAACGAATCCGGAGCTTCGACTGGCACTGCAAGACGGATGGGCAGCAATGCCTCAACAACTCATTGACACCCTCATTCTCAGCATGGGCAGACGCTGTGAAACCTGCCTCGCAGTCAGGGAAGATCATATCCCCTATTAAAGACCGATGTTTCTTGCTGGACACCCATCAAAGTGATGTTTCGGCCTTCAGTCGCATTGCGCTCCATGCTACTTTTTCAATAAAGCTTCTTTTTATCCCTCTGATTTCTCTTTTAGTAAGTGTTGCTTACATTACTCATGTCCTTATGTATTGGGGATCTTACGGTATTAAATGTGTTGATTTGGAAAGCTTTTGTACAAAGTTACATTGAAGAAACCGTCTCGTCCTTAATTTTTGCACACCAGTGTATTATTAAAGTATGGTGCTGGTTTACGATGCTCTTGGTAACATTGAAAATACCTTATTTTATGGAAATAATACTTTCTATCCAAAAATACTTTGCCACCTCTATGATTAAGCGGTTAGTAAAAGCAGACTTCATTTCCATTACGTTAAGTCTAGATTAAAATTCTCAGGTACAGCATATTCATTTGTGACTGTATTATCTTTGCAACATGACGACATTTATTATCTACTGGGCCCACCAGCGGCCGAGCGGTAAAGAACGCTGAACACTGGTAGTTCAGTCAAAGGTTCGAATCCCGCAAACGGGCTAGCTGCATGGGCGTTTTTGTAATTTTCTCCATGTGTAACGTGTATATGAGCTAGTTTCCCAAGTCCTCCACGAAGGCATCCCTCCCTTTAGGCAGATAGGCCTCGTGTGCTTTGCCATAATTAAATAATCCAATCCAATCTAATATTATCTACTGAGCCAAAAGTCATCTAAAAAATTTATTGATTGTTGGAGAAGAAGCATTTGATCTCATACCTTCAGATTTGACATTTAAGTGGCCGCTCACTCAAAACTAGGATGGAGTTTAGGAAGTGTGCTTTACTTAAATTTGTATAACCAATTTAGTCTCAGAATTACATTACTGTTACAGCCAATTAATCAGGGAGTAATATCAAATTTTGAGGCCCATTACTTACATATTTAGGAGCTTTACAAATAAAATAGAATATAAATAAAAAACAAATTATTTTAGAAGAATTAAAATATCTTGAAAGCCATACATAATATTAAGAAAATCAGGAAATTAGCTCTTTAATTTGACAGATGGTGAAAATATGCAGGGTAAGGGGGCTGCACACATTAAGCAAATACAGCATATATAATGTGTTTACAAGCTTTTAGATATTTATTTAATTTATGAAGACAGAGCACACTGAAAGCACCTTTACTCTTATCATGGTAAAATTTGATGACAATTTTATTTTTCAGATATGCCTTGAAACAGTTTTTGTTACACACAAAATAAAGGCCTTTGTGCATCTGATATTTGAAAAACCAATTAGACATATCTGCACTAAAAGCTCTTGCAGGACTGTACATATGTGCAATCTACCATCAACCAATAGGATTATGATGACAGTTGCATGATGATTTACATAACATGATGTCAGTACTTAAATGTAGGTAGAAGTGGATGGAACACCAGAATTTCACCATTGGTTATATAGATATAGACTTAAACTAACTGTGCAGTTCCACCCCAGTTTTGATGGAGAATACTCCAGTGGGCAGTATGAGAGTCAATCACCCCCTCTTCTCCTTTCACCAACTTCCTGAGAGGAATTTTGGCTTGCCATGTACTTTAAGTGTCCCCTCGTCACACAGACATTATACATATCCATGCCTTTTCTATGATTTGAACCTGGGACCATTGGTGGGGTAGTCAAGACATCAATACCTAATTTGACATCAAATAAAAACAATAGTGTGCGATAACAGACATTTGCATATGTAGAACTCTCATAAAAGCCTTAAAAAGCATATACTGCTTCTGAATAGCAACAAGGTATAATAAATAAATACTAATATAAATAAATAAAAGGTCTGAAGAAAGTATGATTAGAGGGAATAATAATATGTATGAAGTGAAAGAAAAGCTTGTACAGTTTGCAAACAAAGATGGAACAGTGAACAATGAACAGCAAAGTTGTTCAACGATTTAAGAATTTAACAGTAAAAAGTTATTAATGATCTAAAAAAATTAACAGAGCAATACGTCCATAATGAACCAGCAGACTTTGTTTCAAAAACAGAATTATACAAATTCCATTATCAGATTCACACTCCAATTTCAAGAATGCAAGCTGAGTATTAAACATAGTATGAAAGTTTATGCTATTATTTTCTACACACAATGAATTATTTTATTGCTAAATATTACATCATCTAGATATCATTACATAGAATTAATATTCATATCAATTAAATTTTAAAATACCTTGTCATATTGCTCCTGCAAAGCTTGTTGAGCACCTTCTGAGCCAGAACCAATAGCTTTAGCATCATACTGAACATATGTTCCAGATGGATCCATGTGAAATCTGTAAAAAAATTTCAGAAATTATATGCACTGAAAAGTCTTGTATAGTGACACTACATATTTTAAGCAAAGTATACTTGGGTTGGTGCAAATGTATGAGAAAACTTGCAAAAACATAAATTAAAAATATGAATTCATGAAAAATGTGGAATTAGCAGAAATGATATCAATGCAGAAACGAATTCATGAATTTATATTACTAATGCTGGAAAAGAACTGCTATTGCAATGACATATTTTAAAGTAACTGAAAAAAAATCAAGTTCCAAGTAATTTATAGAAGAAATTTAATGAACTCTTTGCAACCACTTTTCTAATTCTTCCAGTTCTCAAACTTTTATATTTCTGAGACTATAAACAAACAAAAGTAACGAATGCTATCTTCCTTAGGTGACCACATTCACAGAAGATATAAATCTTCTGGATTTACAGGTGGCTATCTTAGGTTCATTGTATCTAAAAAATAATATTTAAAACCAAAGAATATCAGATTTAAAAGTTAATTCTGTGATGCAAAAGACAGGCTATTAATAAAAAGGACAAAAGACAGGCAATTAAGATAAAATCAGATTTCATAATTCATTTTAAAGAATTATGCAATTTTTAACAAAACTAAATACAACAGAAATTTATATTTTTAGAAAACAAGAAATTTGTAGAGCAGGAATACCACAGAAGAAACATGTAGTAATAACTTTAAATTACACAGCAATTCATTCCTAGATAAATGACAAAAGTTAGGAAAAAACTTTTTCATACAATATTGAAACAGGAAAGCTTGTAACAGATAACTAATTTTAATCAAAAAATAAATATGTATACATGAGCATGCAAATTAACTTGGATAATAGCATAATAGAGTTTATACATGTTTCTGCACACAGAAATTAAGTTCTTTTAAGGACTCTTAATGAAAAAATTAAGGACCTGTGAACAAATGGGAACTGAATACGTTTAATTAAAAATATTATCTGTGCCTGAACTTCACTTTTGTAATACCATCCTAAAAATAAATAGATCCATAATTAGGATGCATTACTATTAAACATAACTTAATTAACATAATTAGTAATAAGTTTTACAATAAAATAAACTTTATGAAATTTATCAAAATTTCAATTTTTTTTAAATACTTTACACTTATAATAGTTGAACATATTTGAAAGAAGACAAGTGACATTTTTATTTAAGTTGTACTAACAGTTAGCTTTATGCTGATCTTTTCTTTTCTTTTATGTCTCATTTTGTCACATACTTGCTTAGTCTAGAGGTTTAGTAAATAGCAGGTAGATTTTATGTCAAGTGGCATAGGTTAAATTGAGAAGTAAAATCATAATCAGCATGATTCATAACAAAAAAAGACTGGCTGTTATCACCGCTGCTGCTTGCCTAGAGAGAGATCTGCTGATCAGAACAAACCTGAAAGGCCTAATGTAGGCACAGCCGGCAAGTTTTGAAAGTTAGCTGGGCTCTGTCTGACGCAGTTAGTATTGTAGCTTCCCGTAGAGTTCCAGAGGTTGTAATTCAGTTAATATACTTTAAAGTTCCAATAAGTGAATAAAGCACCAGAGGCACCTTGTATTATTTATAATAAAGCACCTTGTATTATTTTAAGTCTTACTAGATGCGAAGAATAAGTTTTACATCAATTTTTATATTTTTGTGCTTTAGCTTGTGACCACAGTAAGGATTAATGAAAGGCAATAATTCACTTTAATACGCAGAGATAATTTTTAAGATTAAGCAATTAGTTACAAATAATTAAATCAGGTAGTTAGATAACCTTAGTCATTACGAATTATTAAATTTTATTTATTTTTTAACAATATTTGTTAAAATAGCCCTATTAAAATCACAATCTAATAAAATTTCACATTTTAAAATACATGTAGTTTATGGCATTGAGTCTTAAACAATGTTACGATAATTACACATTAAAAGCTACAAAACATGTAGCAACAGTACTCAATAAAATACTTATGCATCTTTTTAATTTGAAGCCTTTGGAGACATTCTGGCTAACTTATATCAATTTCCTTATCTTTAAGCATCTTTTCTAACAATTAGAAATTTGTTTCCAATATGCAAACCAATGTTCTCACTAGTTTCTGTGTGCTTTATCTCCTAACTTATCAACCTCTCCACAATGTACCTATGAGGGTTTACTTGATCTGATAAAACTTAAATATTCCAAAACCTCTGAAAGACATGAAGCAAATTATTAAAGTAACTATAAAGTCAGACAAAGGTTCGGATAAGCCTCTTATTTAAAAAGGACATAAAAGTGCATTCTTATGCTAACAAAATCAATTACAGCTCGTGGTGATGCAATTAAACAAGAAGAGTCGAATTCAAACTAAAGATGTGGATTTAGTGGTCAAATACTACACAATTTAAATTTAATTTAAGCTGGCTCAGTAACTCTATCATCATAACAAATTCAAATGTCAGAAGTGATATTGCAAAGACTAATAATTACGAATTATCAGAGCCGAGGGGAACTAATGCAGCGAACAAATGGAGATCAGACACACACTTTTTCTCTCTTAAACTCCAAAAACCTCAGTTTAAAAATTGTCTAAGTGATTTGCATTCTGGTGAGAAAATAGAAATTGAAAATTATAGTAAAGGCTGAAATTATAAACAATTGGGTAGTTTACATAATAAAAGCAATACATATCTTTGAAGAATAATTTTCTTTTGCTTTATGTATTCAGTTTCTTTCTTCAACAAGTTTCCTTTTTATTTTAAAATTTTTGCATTTAATTGAAAATTCCTGTATACTAAATACACTATTCATTTTTCGATTCTTATAGATCTCATATGTGCTTTTAAATTGTGTTAATTTAGCATTGTTTGATATGTATCGTGCTGTTTGGTGTATATTGGCAAAACTGAAAAAGCGCTGAAATTTCTCATCAGGAAATATGAATTAAATTTCGAACGGAAAAATAATTTTTTTAGCTAAGTACGGCGGTCACTTAATTACATTTGGGATCTTCAAAAATTATCCATAAAGCTTCTTCATTAAATCAACTGGGTTCTTTCAAACACTTTCACATCATTAATAATTTTTCTTGTCTACTTAACGATATTAATTTTCCAATCTCGCTCTTCCAAATGCTTTAAAATTTCTAATATCATTAGGTTTCATTACTGTTTTACTCAATACATCATGTTACATTCTTTTCTTTACAAAATCGTTTCGCTCCTCCCACAAATAAAATTTCCTTTCCCTGTCATAAAAAATCTAAATAAGTCAATAAAAACTGTTATTCTTGAATTATACTTTTTATAGAAACATATGGTGGTGAAGGGTTAGTTTCGAAATATATATTATTTTGTTATTAGAAACAATTAGAAAAAAGTGCATCAAGACAAACAAAGGTATAAATTATTGACCTCTATAATGGGCTGTTCATGCCACCATACTTGAGATAAAAATTCTGTAACATTTTATTGACCACGCCTCTTTCTTAAAATACTTAGGTTAATGTTTATAGCACTAAACTGGTGTGTTATGTTTAATTTAGAAGTCAAATATTCTTCAAGGTTTTATTTCATTCATAACTGAATTCTATTCTCAAAAACTACATTTTTCACTCTTCATATATCGAAAACGTTGCTGATATGAAATTCCACACGTTGGAAAATCTCCGAAGAGAAATCGAAGGAATCTGAAGAAGGAGGAGCACCAAGCAGGGTGGAGCAAAGCGAGACATCCTGAAAAGTCACCGTAATGTGACCCCCATCTATCAAAGCTAAATTTAACTAGATCAGTCATGTAACTAGATAATATTATGTACTCTGTTTTGAAAGTTGTTATGTGTAATTTTCAATATAATATTTTAATATGTTATATTGTGTCATGTTTTTCTCATAAAAAATGTAACTTTCTCAATATCTGTTAAAAATGTATAAATTTTCATTTCATTTTTCATTAACTTTAACTTTTTTTTTTCTCTTTTGTTCCTTCTTTCTCGTTTCTGTTGTAGCTACATGGTAATAGGGAAATTTTTTGTGTCCACTTTCCTGAATGCATTTATAAAGTTCTAGCCTAAAAAGGCAATTTTATTGGAAGAGACTGGTTATATATTAAGTAAAACGGTCACTCTATTTCTGTTAGGCCCAGCAGCGGCCAAGCGGTAAAGTCACTGAACACTGGCAGTTTGGTTCAAATTTCAAATCCCGCAAACGGACAAGCTGCATGGGTGTTTTCCCCATGTGTAGCATGTATACGAGCCAGTTTTTCTTAGAAAGTCCTCCACGAAGGTATCCCTCCCATTAGGCAGATAGCCATCTGGCTTTGCCATAATTACATAAACCAAACCTACTTCTGGCCGCAGGCCACAAGGTACGAATTCCTGTGTCGGAGTACTATAACATATTAATAAATATGCGATGCCTAACCTGTAATTGTGGTAACCTGTAATAAATATGTGATGCCTAAGCTGTAATTGTATAGGGTATAAATAGCATTTTAGATAAAAAAGTAGTTCCAGTGTGGCAAGGAGTAGGGCGAATCACTCTACTTCCTGACAGGGAAAAGAAATTTCATTAGTGGGAAGAGCGAAACGACTTTATACAGGAATGAATGTAGTGTGATGTGTTGAGCAAAGTAGTAATGAAATGTGAAAGTATCAGAAATTAAAAACCACTGGGAAAAGCGAGACTCATTGTCGGCTTAATCTCATGTCGGCTAACTGTCCGTGTCGGCTAAGTGTCCTGTCGGCTAAGTGTCTGTGTCGGCTAACTGTCCTGTCGGCTAAATGTCTTGTCGGTTAAGTGTCCCGTCGGCTAAGTGTCTGCGACCAGTTAAAATTTAACTACTTATTGTTCAGTATTCAGAGTCAAAATCTTTTAAATACATACAACTGAGGATCAGACTTCTTATCAGCACCAGCAAAAAGGATTGCAACTCCAAAGGGACGGCTCTAAGAAAAACAGAGAAATTAGCAATGGAAAATTAAACATAAAAACCATTATTTTATTAACAATCAATAAGTAAAATTTCACAATTACATGAATTCACAAAACATTTGCATATTGTACTTCACATATAATATGTACATCTGTATGTGTATGTGCATGTGTATTCATTTCTATTTAATAAGATTTTTAATAGTTTTAGTTAAAATAAAAAATTTATATTGCACATAAAATCTTTGAGTCAAATTCCATTAAGTATTGATCATAAATATAAAATGATCAAGGCTTTAAAAATAAAAATGCCATATTGAATTGAATTTATAGCTATTTAAATTTATCAAGTTTTAAGTATGAGTTACAACAGCTTTAACAATTAATGGTTATAATAAGAGATCCTCAGTTGCTCATTAAAATAATATGCAAATATAATTTTCTATTACATTAGTCTCTTCTCATAAAATATATATTCTTAATAGTTCTTAATGGAGTTAGAAACACAAAGGTATTTTTATATGAATATCTCAATTAATTATGCATATAAATAAGCAACTATTATAATTATGCAATTGCAATGACAAATATTTAAATATATTTGAATACATCTATTTTACATATATAGTTCCTGCTGCTCATTAATTCGCTGGTTAATAAACTCAGTCTCTTATCACATTCAAATTATCAGGAATCAAATCAAATACCTACTAATCAATAAAAAGAGCTGCCATTTCTTAAATCGACCTCCGCTGCTTATAAAACTCAGAAGGGTTAGATTAGGTTATTTAAATATCACAAAGCCACGAAGACTATTTGCGTAAGAGGGGGATGCCTTCATGGAGGACATTCTAAGGGGATTGGCTCATATTCACAAACTCAGAAGGGGAAAAATCTGATTCTTCAGTGCATTGTACCAACCCCAGCTTTTTATAATTCAATTTATAAAATTATAAAATGTAGTGTGGAATTAGGGCCTGTTTAAGAGAGATCAATTTCTTTACGTCTGGGTCTTATTTTATTTAGTTTTAACCGTAAATTACAATCCACTTCTAGTTTTGTTTTGTATTTATTTTTCAAATATAATATGGAAGAAAATCCTTGTTCACACAAATAGGCTGTCCAAAGGAAATAAAAATTTTATAGCTTTTTTTTTTTTTTTTTTTTTTTTTTGTGTGTGTGTGTGTTTGTGTGTGTGTGTGTGTGTGTGTGTGTGTGTGTGGGTTATTTTTGAAATTTTCAGTTAAGAGTTAGATCACAGGAAGTTTCTGTGACTTGTTCTTTTTCTTCAGGAGATTTTTGAATTTAACTGTTAAAAATACTTTGTTGTTTTGTGCACCAGCTATTTTTCTCTTACATACCACTGGCTGAGAACCACTGGATTAGGGTACTATAAAAGTTTCAAATATCTTGCAAAAATGCTCTTTAGAAAATGATGAGCAGAACTGAATTTTGTGAAAAAGCAACACTTTAAAAGACATACATAAGTCGAGAGCCCTGCTAGATACTATGCATATTATAGTCAATGTTATACAGGTAGGTATAGGTTTAAACCCTTAAAATCAATTAAAAAGGTCTTTACGAAAATGCGGCTTTTATGTAGAGGAAACACCAGTGGAACTGCAAGCTATAGCTGATGTTTGAAATATCAGTGAGGGAAATTATGCAGATTCATTTTTATAATATGCATCAATTCAAAAAAAGATTGACACAACTTGTGTAAAAACTGACTATGAAAATGTTAAAGAACAGCAGAAACTGACAGCAAAAGTGATATAGAAAAACGTGATGACATGCCAACATCAATCAAATCTAGAAAAGCACTGCAAATTCTGAGGGAAATTCTTGAACTGAAAGGTATTGATCAATAATGCGGGAATGGAACTATTCAGTGTGGCCGTTTCACTGTTGGGACACTTCACAGTCAATACATATTTTTCTTTACATGACTGATATTATATCTTGCCGTACTATATCAAGTTGATTTAGTTTAATAATTCAGTTTATCTAGTGTATATTTAAGAGAGATTTTTCTTTCTATGCCTATATTTTAACTTGCCATATTATATTATTAAGTTTATTTAATTTAATTATTTTGTTTACCTATTGTATACCTCTGGCTGTCTTAAATTTTAAAAGAAAAAAAACCTTTTGCAATTAAAATTAAACACATCTTCTAGAATTACTAAGGTATGAAATGTTTTTGTATACAATTTTATACTATGCATAAAATATAATTTTAAGAGAGTATTCTGATAAGAGTCCAAAGTAATTCTATTTCTAATTCAGATTTTTATAAAAATTTCCTGCTTGCATGAGTGATTTTGCTGAACTAACCAATTAAAATTTAAAGAAATTTTGACAAATCATGTAAATATTGTACCTGCATAATTTTAAAATTTACGAGGGCTATCCAGAAAGTAGATTACGTTTTGGAATAAAAAAATAAACAAAGTATAGGAAACAAATTTTATTATATACAGATGAAAGCCACACTCAAATACTACTTTTCTACATAGTCACCATACAAATTAAGGCATTTATCGTAGCGATGTACGAGCTTGGAAATTCCTTCGTCGAAAAATTCGGCCGCCTGCGCCTTCAACCACTTCGTTACCTCTTCTTGCAGCTGTGCGTCGTCATCAAAACGCTGCATAGCCAGCCACTTCTTCATTGCTGGGAATAGGTGGAAGTCGCTCGGTGCCAGGTCGGGACTGTACGGCGGATGAGGAAACAACTCCCACTTAAAAGATTCAAGAACTTTACGAGTGACATTTGCCGTGTGGGGCCGGGCGTTGTCGTGAATCAACAAGATCTTAGAGCTCAACATTCCTCTGCGCTTGTTTTGAATTGCTCTCTGAGTTTTTGGAGAGTTTGGCAATACCTTTGAGTTTATTGTAGTACCTCTTTCCAGGAAGTCCACCAAAATTACACCTTTTCTGTCCCAAAAAACAGTCACCATCATCTTCCTTGCCGACATTGTTTGCATGCATTTCTTGGGTTTTTGGGGAGAACTTGTGTGCCCCCACTGCATTGATTGCAATTTCGTTTCACAGTTCACATGTTTCACCCATGTTTTGTCACCAGTAACGATGCGATCGAGTAAAGAGTCACCATCCTTATGGTAAGCGTCCAAAAAGTTCAACGCTGCAGCCATTCGCTGATTTTTGTGGTCCTCTGTCAAGATTTTTGGAATTCATCTTGCACAAAAACTTGTGGTAACCAAGCTTTTCGCTGATGATTTCGTGCAACAAACTTCGCGAAATTTGTGGAAAACTCAAAGAAAGTTCCGTTATTGTGAAATTTCGATTTTCACGGACTTTAGCATCGACTTTTTCGAGAAGTTCGGCGGTCGCTATGCTGGGTCTCCCACTTCGATCTTCGTCGTGAACATTGGTTCGGCCATTTTGAAATCTTATGACCCACTGACGCACTCCACCTTCAGTGATAATGTTGTCCCCATACACTTCACGAAGCTGCCGATAGATTTCTATCGGTTTACAGTTTTTTGCAGTCAGAAACCTTATTACTGAGCGCACCTCGCAGCTCGCGGGATTTTCAATTAACGCAGACATTTCAAACCGTCACAGTATCTGAACGGAGCACAGCACGAACCTCTCACTAGCATGGCTAGATGCAGACTGAGCTGCGCAACGCTCTGACCCCAAGATGGCCGCGCTAGCCCCGCCCCTAGCGGACACAGACGGAAACGTAATCTACTTCCTGGATGGCCCTCGTATAATATAACTTCTGTTATATCAGAGGTTTAGCCCCAATTCACTTTGATACTGACATAATTTTTAACTATGTGCAATTTCTTTATATCTCATATTTGTAAACAACTATATATATTATAAACAACCTTTATTACGCATCTAAACTATTAAACTAAATCAATTTAATGTGAGTATAATACAAGATGTAATAAAATCATGTAAAGAAAAATATGTCTTGATGGCAAAACAGCCATGGTGAAAAGCCCTAGACCCCAGAAATTACTACCTGTAGTTTTATGAAATTGAGAATACTTATGAAAAAGTTGCTAGGGAGAAATACAAACACAAATAGGATAAATGTTTATAAGAGATTAAATTTCATTAAAAACATAATTATAAAAAAACTTTATAAAAAATTTAAAAATTACAGAAATAATTTAATTTTAAGATTAATGTTCAATTATTACTTTAGGATTAATTATGGAATTTGTTGTTAGTTATTATTTTACTCAAAAAGTTTAAAACTCACATCACAATTAGAACTATTAAACTCAGCTGCTGTGTTTGGAATGGAACTAAATTTTAATAAGTACCATATATACCCGCGTATAAGTCGATCCCCCACTTCGACATAAAAAATTTGCAAAAAATAAGAAACCCGCGTATAAGTCGACCCCCCCCCCACTTCCGAAATCGATCGAGAAACTTCGAAAAATATTTTTTAAGTACTACATTTATTCAAAATCATCTGAGAAAAAAAAGTAAATATACGATAAAAAACACCTTGGTAAATGAACAAAATCAAAATCCTTCAACGTCCGATTCATGGTCAGTTTCGCCAAACATTTCATAGAACTCTTCTGTGTCATCATTGGCTCGTCATCATACATATTTTCAGTCTCGAACTCTGGATTATTACAATCACTACTAGAGCCTTCGTCATCATTTTCACTTTCAAAAACAGCATCATCATTCTGTGCCGTCTTAGTTCGTTGCTAATACAAACATTTTTTAAATGATTTTATAATCATTTCAGAGGGTATTTCGTTCCAAGCATCTTTAACCCACTGAGCAATTAATGTAATATCGGGCTTTTTAATGTTGCCTCCCTTTGTAAATGTTGGTCGACCGGAACTAATCCACTCTGTCCAATATTTTCTAACATTTACTTTGAAGGGCTTATTGAGGCAGACATCTAGGGCTTGAATGACGGATGTCAATCCTCCCGGAATTACGGCCACAGTCGTTTTTAAGTGTTTTGTCACTTTTGTCACTTCTTCAGAAAAGTGTCCACGAAAAAAATCGTATATTAAAAGAGAAGGTTTTTTGAAAACTGCTCCCGGTCTTTTATCTCACACATTTTTAAGCCAATCGACTGTTCCGTCAGCATCCATCCATCCCTTTTCATGGGCACGAACCAGCACACCTGATGGAAACACAACGTTTTTCGGTAAAGTTTTTCCTTTAAAAATGATCAATGGACGAAGCTTACTGCCGTCAGCCAAGCACAAAAGAACGGCCGTAAAATGGGTTTTTTCATGCCCGGCCGTTTTTATCAAAATGCTTTTTTCCCCCAGTCAATTGTTTTATTTTCTGGTAGATCGAAACACATGGGGGTTTTGTCCATATTCCCTATTTGGGAAAGTTCAAAAGAAGTCCTTTTTCTTACATCGATAATGTATTTTTGAAACACCATAACCTTTGCTTCCAAATCAGATGGTAACTTTTGCGCCACTTTGGTGCGTTGGTGTAAATACAAACCATGGCGATTCATAAATTTAGTGCACCAATGTGTTGATGCACGAAACGTGTTTGGAACACCATACTTTTCTTCTTTTGCTAGCTTCATTGCTCGTAAACATATGCCAGTTCTAGTGACAATGAAACCATTCTGCCGGCACTCTAAAACCCAAGCATACAAGTCATTTTCCAGTTCTGGAAAAGGAGCTTTTCCATGTTGCGACGCCTTTTTCGATTTCAGGATTTTTTGTATTTTTACTTTATTCTTGCGCCAATCGCAAATCAATTTTTCGTCAACCCCAAACTGACGAGAAGCAGCACAGTTATTAGCCTCTTCCGCGAAAGCAATAACTTTTAACTTAAATCCAGCAGCGTATGACTGACTTCTGTTTAACTACCAATAAATCAGCCATATCAACAGAAACAAGAAGGGAAATAAAAACGTACTGACAAGAGCGAAGTAAGATTTAACAGTGGGGCACGGGATTCTAGCAAAGAATCCGTCGAATCTGGACGTTAAACCGAAGAGTTTTCTGCCCCCGAACAACCGATCAGCATCCAGCAGGCAAAAGGCGTCGCCAACATATCCAAAACACAGGATAATTGGGAAAAAAAAATTATCGTATATAGTAACCTTCTACAACTTTGTTCTGGAAAAGATTCGCATACGTAAAATCTATCTGTATTTAAACCTTTTTAAAAGTTAAAAGAAATATTCAAAACTGTTCAGTTATTGCGTGTGCTATTTTTTTTTATTTTGACGTGTACGACTGTTAACAAAAGTATTTCATGAATGAAAAATAACTATTATAAAGACTTATACGTACGTAAAAACTATCTGCATTACTCTTTATTTGGCACGTTGGCGAAACTTTTTTATTGCTCGATATTGATCGGTTGTTCGGGAGCCGAAAATTCTTTGGTTTAATCGAAACTTACTCTAGTTAAAGTATGAAACTCTGTGATTAGTTCATCACATAATTTAAGTCATGAAATTACTTAAAGTGACTTATTTGATAAGTCGTCCAATTTGAGTGCGAGAAGAAAACAACTGCATTATATAAAGAAATTTTTGAACTTCCGATTCTTTTAATTTTTTATGGCCCCGCGTCGACCCCCCACTTTGAAGTCTTTTTTTTGTCCAAAATATCTCGACTTAAACGCGGGTATATACGGTAGTTTAGATTCATGTAATTATGGCTAAGCCTCAAGGGCTATCTGCCTAAGGGAAGGGGTGCCTCGGTGGAGGACTTTCTAAGGGAAACTGGCTTATATACACATCACATATGGGGAAAACTTTGAAAACGTCCATTCGTCTGCAACCACACTCATCTGCAAAATGCTTATCCCACTTTTATGATACATTCAGCAATACTTTTATAACCTCAATACATAGCATAAACAAAATAATGAACTTTCATTGCAAGGTCAACAAAACAGAAATTTTCAAAATAAGCAAATGCAATTTCAGCATAATGCAACCTTAAAGCTCATAAATATGATTAGCATTAAATACAGTACCATATATTAAATACTGATCTTGCAGGACTCTAATAATACTTAAATGAGTAATAAAAGCAAATTATCAGGTCACAGATTAGTTCTTCTATACAAAACAAATCTGTCAATTTAATTACTATAAGGGGGGAAGTATACCTTTCACATTTAAAAAAATAATAAGAAAATTAAATAAGTAACTACATTTTTGCTCTACTATGGATTTATTTATTTATTTATTTTTTTAAATCTGAAAGTTTTTAGATTTTATATCTATGCCTAAAAGGGTATTTACACACATATACATACATGTTCTGAAAGCATTTGGGATAAAAATATTTAAAAAAAGCATATCTTTAGAATTTCCGACAGACAATCTTGCACGCTGGAAATAAAAGTGTTTTATTCCGTACAGTATTGCCACTGCTGTGATAGGAAACGTGCTGAAATCTGATAGGAAATGTGCTGAGTTCTTTAATCAAAAATTCGTTACAAAATATGAAATAAATAATAAAACAAATTTAAAATTCAGGTTTCCGGATATCCATATTCGGGAGCAAGACTACGTTATTCAAAATTTGATGGCTATATGTACTGTTGTTTTTTCACAATGCGAAAAACATCATCATTTAACTTCTTTAAATATAAGACAGGGCAATAATATTTGGTGGTAATAATTTGAAAAGTGATTCAACACTTTTAGCGATTCAATGCAAAATGCCATTTTGAGACTAATATCCCTTCAGGGTTAATGCCTCTTTAGGCTAAAAAGATAGCACTGAAAAATGCCTATACTTCAAATGCAATACATGAAAATTTCATTACTTTTAATTTTAAAAAATTATACAAATAAAGTGACAAAAATATTAAAAAACTAGAAAACATTACTTTGATGTACTTTGTTGCAATGATGATGAAACCAACAGCCTACTTTTTGTTATGTTTACATATTTTGTTTACAGTTTTGCTACAGCTTATTTAATAAACTGTAAATAAAAATATTTTTTGCTTGCAGTAATTTTAACATTTATGTACAATATTTAAATAATTCATATATGTGAGCTATTAAAAACTTACATTATAGAAAAAATTTAATTTGAAAATAATATACTAATTAAAATTATTTTTATAAGTCCATATTTTTTATTTAACACTTTTTAATTCATTTGAGAATCTGCATTATTTTACATCAATGTATTTAATAAATTCATTACATAATTAAGTAGCTAGACAATGCAATCAAATGAAAAGATAATATACCATAGCATTCCCATCATCATCACTATCACCAAACTGAATTGCCAAATTTGATACAGACTGTGCAATACTTTCTACATCCATTTGCTCATCATACACAAACCAGTGATTCTATAAAGCAAATTAATTCAAGTTAACATAAAAGATTCTTTTAATACATGCATTAATTTATAAAATGTAGAAGTTTTTAAAATGTAAGATATTTTTACATACTCAAAAATTAGCAAACTAATGCAGTAATAGATAAAATGATAGAAAGTGCAATAATTTAAATAAAGATAACTTGAATTTTGAAGCATTATGCATACATTTAAAGCACTATACATTTAAAATCTAATTACCATTCCATTCCTTTTTAAATTTATATTCATGATAATTTTAAGACAAGTTTTATATCCTTTGTTTTTTATTAAATGCAGATTTATGTATTTATTATGATCATTATTATTATTATTACTTGAAAATTCAAGATCCAGATGAAATGATATAAATAGCAGATGATAGTATCTGCTATTTATACTCAGGATTATTATTATTTAAGACTTAAGAAACATTCAAAATTCAGGTTCAAGAAATTCAGAATTACTATTATTTTGATTTTTGTCAACGTAAATTAAAACAGTACATATTCATAATGCTGTTCAGCAAAACATTGTGGAGAAAATAATGCAAGGGAAAAACATCACGGCAGAAAAAAAAAGGAAGGAGAAAATACCACAATTCTAAAACATTATGATAAAAAATAAAATGCTGCAGCAAAAATTTTGCAGTTTTAAAGCATCATCATACAAAATATCATGGTAAAAAATAAAGGACATATAAATCATTGCATGATGTATGTTATCATTACAGACATGCATTTTCTGATTATACAAAATTTAAGGGAAATTTTGCATAATAATTTGTGGGCATAAGAAGAAATAAGGAATATGGTCATCTTTTATTTTACATTTCTATATGTTACAATTTTGAAGAAAAATCAAGGGAAAAACTGAACCATTCAAAATCTGCAAGTTGGTAAAAATTAATGCTAGGTTTACCAGTTAAAAAAATATTTAACTTAATGTTTAACTTAATGGTCAACTGTCTTTTAAGTAACCCCTTTTAGAGAGACATATCAGTAGTTCTTAATGAAAAAATATAGTACCCAAAAGACTAAAAAGTGGAGCTGATATAAGTTCAAAATTTTATTAACTGCTCAGAGTACTAACTTTTAGTAATTTTCAAGCTTTGAACGCAGAAGTTTCCTTATCAGTAACGATTTATTAATTAATACAAAATTATGAAATATGAAAGTAAAAATAATTTTTATTTCTTCTTGTGCTCATAAGTCATCACATGGAAATTCACTTCTTTAATTCACTCATTTTTTTAATCAGAAAATTAATGTCTGCAATGTTATCATGAAATGATTTGTAGATGCTTTATTTTTTAACACATTTTGTACAACAATATTTTAAAACTGTGACGTTTGTGCAGCACCATTTTATTTTCTAACACGATGTTTTATACCATGATATTTTTTCCTTTGCATTGTTTTCTCCACAAGATGTTTGTCATATAATGATCACATCATCATGCAATGACTTAAGTTAAACAAAACTTTTTTGTTTTACCCGTGATATTTTGTGCATGATGTTTTAAAAAGTGCAAAATGTTTGCCTTATTTTACCTTCTACAATGATGCTTGAGAACTGTGATGTTTTCTTCCCTTACTTTTTTCCCTCCCATGACATTTTCACCTGCGATTATTTCAGAGAATACCCCTTTAAATTGCTTGATTTTGTTAATCAGTAACAGATTGATTAAATGTGAAATATAAAAGACTTAATGATTTGCTGAATGATAACACTCTGAGAATTTGATATGCACAAGGAGAGATATACGAGAGATAAATTAAAGGTCTTATGTTTCATCTATGCAGGGCTGGATTTTGGACTTGATAAGGCACTAAACTATTAGAGATATGGGGGCTTTTATAAATCCAGATATTATATGTCTGCGCCAAATATGATTTTCGGATACCTAGAGGGTTTTTTGGGGGAGCCTCCAAGAAAGCAGGAGTCCTAGGCTGTAGCTTATACATTGTTGTTTCTCATCCCTGTGAGCAGCTAGATCAGGTCTATGAGCTCATTCACCCTGAAAGAGTCCAGTACAAAGTGGATCTTTAACCAGGTCCTGCCTGTAAGCCCCAGACAAGATAAGTTGTGGTCAGGAGAGGCCTGTGCGGAAAAACACCTAGTGCATATTTTGAAGTGCTTATTACCACCGACAAAAGTCATTGATAACAGATAGCCACTAAGGAATCTAGTAAGTGCAGTTTGATCTTGTCTATTGCTGTTCTGAACCAAGGGGCCACCAGGGCACTTACTCTGATATCATGGGTGCACTGGTGGGACCATCCAAACGGCCTTATTCTTTGCCTCAGATTTAGAAAATAGCTCCATATAAGTAAGAGGAGCGGCAGGCATTGTGGTCTCGCTAGCACCAGCTTTAGACAAGCTGTCTACAATTTCATTTCCAGCAACGTCGACATGGGACAGAATCCACTGAAAGTGGATCCAATGAGAAAGGGAAAGTTATTTTAGTTTTCTGAGGATGTCTGCACTTGTACCATCCCTCACATTATGCCAATCAGCCAAGTGCTGGGTGGCACTTCTACTATCCAAAAAGATCCAGATATCTTTTAACTGAGGAAGCCACATGATGGAGTCCAGACTCTCCAGAATTACAATATAGAATACAGCTTCAAAATACCAAGCAGAAGTCCAGATTTCTTCTTTGAATTCTTACTTCTTGATCCCGAAATCTAATATAAATGCCACTGCCAGAACTGTCATTAACAAGTTTACTGCTGCCCGTATACATGTGAACAGCGTCCATACGGACATTATTAATTGTTTCAAGAGCTAATTGTTTCAAGTAACACAGTTTATACGTAAAACCTGCACAGCATCTATGCAAGACTTGTCGTGGATTCTTAGTTGATTTTTCCATTCTTCTTGTTAGCTAATTTTGACAGGATTAAGCCTAAGAAAAAACAAAACAGCTGCTTTTAGGTGTTACATAACTATACCACAGTAGAATAACATTTAGGAAAAATTTACCTGAGCCTCAACTCGTGCTCGATCCACCAAGGTCCTTGAATCTGCCATCAAGCCACTAACAGCACAACCTAAACAAAAAAGTAAAAATGCATTTGGATACTGCACTACAATACAAAACATTCAACTCTAAGTTTAAATGTTTTCTCTTAAAAACAGCATCAATTTTTAAAGAAAAACTACTCTTTTAAAAACAACCTTTTTCTGTCAAAATTCTAATAATATGAAAGAAAATACACTTAAATAATTATATCATATACAAACACATCTAGTTATATAACACTTAACGCAGTTATTTTTAAATTTATCTAACTACAGCTATGGTTTAAAAAAGAGAGCCTTTGTGGGGAAAAAAAAAGCCTGAACAATTGGCTTTTATTTAAAAAAGCATGACTTCTTTAAGAAATTGCATTGTTTTTTCCCCCACATATGAAAAGCAGATGTTTTCCTCATTCATTATACTTACTGATATGTTACTGAAAATGAAAAATAATGCCAGACTATAACAGACGGTACAGTCTGGCATTCAGAGTCATATAATCAAATTTAATTATTACTCAACACAATAGTCATATCTATAAGTTATTGTTCCGACATAAATTTCTTTTGGATTATAGGCAAGAAAAATTTTATTTGCTATACTCTCTATTATACAGAACAATTCACATTAAGATATTATTTCTTTGTGTAAATTTCTGCAAAAATTCACCATGATAGGCCATAACAAAAACATTAAAATGTCCTTATGATAATTTCTTCAATATGATACCATACATCATATTAAAGAACATTTTTTCCCACAAAAGTTGGCTTAATTTTTCCATCATTTTCCATAAATTTGGTTTAATTTATATATTTTATAAATAATCCAACTGCTAAACATTGTAATTTATGTTAACTAATGCTTTTGTATCAATTTCTATTAATAATTAAGTATCAGCTACATTTCATTTCTATACATTCTGTAGCTACACTTATTTCTGTACTATTAATATTGATGACCAGTATATACTGGCATACTGGAGGAACCAAAAATGTTTTGAGGACTTCCTTAACATTTAGAAAGGAAAAGTCATATGATTTTGCATCCGAGATGTGGCAATATACTTTTTCATTTATGCTGTATTCTTAAATGAATTATATTCTATATATGACTTGTTTATACATTATTTCTTATGTCTTCTAATTAAAATGCAAGGTGACTAAGGCTAAAAAGGCTCTGATATAGATGTTAGCAATAGTGCTGCCTGCTCGTAAAAAGATGCCTGTGATGTATTTTAAATTGCCTGCCATTCAAATATCTAAATTTTAGATATTTGAACACATCTTTACTATTTTAACAATAGTACATATTGTGGAGTGCACGACTAGTTGAATAAATTTTCTACTGTTAGAAACAACTGATTCGCATATAGTGAACTATTTCCTGTACCCTTATCCTTGTACACTCTGTTCAACCATGGCATACTACACTTTACAACTGTAACCTCCGTTCATACATAAACCTGTTCTTTCATGAATTTGTACTTTCAGTTGTAAACAAAAGATGCACCTTTTTCTTCAAATGAATAGGTAACAAAAGATGGTTGGTGTTAAAAAAAATTTTCATTTCAGTTAAATGCATAACTTATTTCAGTTGCACAACAACAATTTGCAGTTTTCTTCTACAGTTAGCAACAGTTATGAAAAATGTGCTATAGCAATATTTTTTCTTAAATGTTTCTGCAATAACAAACAAATTTTAAGAACACTACAACTTCAAGTATCTATATAAATTAATTCCATTTTGATATAATTATATCTTTTTAATTTTTAATATTATTATACATTTATTTTTATTATCATTGTAAATGCCCTATTGTGCTCATTGAACTCCTGCATTTCTGAAATACGTCCTCCTAGTAAAAAAGGTTGCAGACTACTGCTCTAATAAATATTTAACATTTTCTTAGCTTTAACAAAAAAATTTGGGGAGAACTTAATATTTAACTAGAAAATTTTAAAAAACTCATGTTTAAAAAAGTATATTACATTTTCACTTAGTAACAATTGCGAGCTTACCAATATGTCGATCAATTTCTACTATTTTTTCAATTGTAACTGGTTTCATTAAAGGGGAAGTGACACGTTTTTCAACAGCTAGAACACAACCCTCATTTGTCTGAATTCCTATTGCAGTTGAACCCAACTGAAAAACATAGTATGACAATTTTTAACAAATGAAAAAAAAAAAAAATACAAATTTAAAATAATTTAATACAAGCAAATTTTTGTCAAGAAATTTCCCTCACAAATATAATAAATTAGTATAATAATAAATGTTAAATAAAATTAATACAGTACAAAGTCTTTAATCCGGACCTAAAAGCTACAAACTTTCTACGCATGCATAAAGGTATTATGCGCATGCGTTTACGCATGCACATAAATACCTTTACGCATGCACGTTTAATGTATAACGGATGGTATAAGCTAGGCTAAAATTATCTAATTATCTACTTCAGTTCATGTTGCAGATTGCGTTGTTCCTTAATCTTCTAATTGGATCCGGCTTATTATTTTTTGCAGACTGTTAAAGCAATTTTATAAAAAGTAAACTTGAACTTTCAATTATGTCAAAAAGAGTTTCCGATTCTGGAGCTGCCAAAGGATCTACAAAGCAAAAGCATGTTTCGATGTCCATCAAACAAAAAGTGGAATTGCTGGAAAAAATGAATAAAGACATGAAGAAAGTGACAGAGGGGTTAGTGAAAACGAAAAAATTTCGATTGACAAGTTAGTCGGTATTCTCGGCACAGCAATTACAGGACTTGAACAGCGGAACTTCGTAACTGAACAAGAAATTATGTCTGTTTATAGAATTAAAGAGAAAGTATTATCACATAAAACGAAGCAACTTAAACAACTTACATTGAAAGAAATGTTTAATAAAGTAAGCTAATATTAAGCTCTTTTTTTTTTTTTTTTTTTTTTTTTTTTTTTAATTTTGATACAGTTTAGATCATAATTGCTCTTTATTTCAGAAATTACGGTTTCATATTTTTAATTTTATAATTTCTGCATGCCATCTTACCAGATTTAAATTGATGATCTATAATCTGCAAAAACCCCTAATCCGGAACCGTCGAAGTCCCGAAGAGTCCGGATTAAAGACTTTGTACTGTATTAATATACACACAATACAGTAACCGACCTATAGCTATGGAGGCCGAGAGCAGAAATTTTCCTAGGGTCCCCTTTATCAGAATGATCACCATATAAAATGTCAACACAAATGCATAATTAGCATTTATTTAAAATTAAATTATAATAATAAATAATAAAATAATTTGGAAAACAAAAAAAATCTTCAGACTAAAAAAAAACTTGCATCTAGCAGACATACATTTAAAAGAATTTATTAATCGCCATTTTTAATGATTTTTTTTTTAAACTTTTCTGTCAATAAAAAAGGCTAAAATTGTTTTTTGTGAGGTTTGAGTTCTGAAATTTTTTTAATGGTTTCGTCAAAATTAATGTTTTTAGTTCCTGCATTTTCAATGGAAAGGATTACAAAACCGTTACTTTCCACCTTGCTCATTGTTGTTTTGAAAACAGCTTTTAATCAACTTCAACAAAAAGCTTTTCTAGCAAGAAGCAACTCAAACACACATTGTCAGAAAAATCTTTAGTGCCAAATATAAACTAGGCACTGATTCTTTGAAGTCTATTTCTGCTATTCACTTTAACATTTTCAATGCAGACTACTTTTTAGCTTCGTCCTTTTTTATATTCCTGTATACAGGTACTCCCCCCCCAGGGGTTGACTCAGGTGAATGCCTGGGAAGTACTGGTTAGGATCTGTACCTAGGCAGTCTCAACCACGGGGGTATACTAACAGACTTCACAGAAGGCCTGAGGGCTCTCGGGACAGAGTAAGGCTCGGCAGGGACCGTAATGGTACTGCCTTGTCTGCCCTTGCTCTGTGGGGTCGCAACATGGTAGATTGTAAGAAGCGTAGGGTTGGTATCCAATTCCGAAAGGCCTTTGATGCCAGGACGGGAGCCTCCCTGTCGCAAGGAATTGTATACAGGTACATAAAAACTTAAGTCCTTTGGGGCTCTGCTCTCCCTTGATCAAAGGCCTGAGGTGGTCTGCCCCCCCCCTTGGTACACCTCTGTATATACCCGACACTTCATAAATTCGTGCAAAGTTCAAAAGTTCGTAATAAAAGAAGGAATGCACAAAAAAATTTTCTGTTTGCGGCAATATGGTCAGAAAGACATTGGATTTTTTTACATGTAAAAAATATATATATATATTTCCAAAAGTAACCGACAGAAGGTGCTCGCCCGCCATACTGAGATGTTTTATGCAAATCAAGCTATCAATAAAACACTTGGCTGGAAACGGATTCGTTATTCAAAGGCAGCAGCATGTTTTCTTTACCAGATCGGGCGTTGGTGGTTAAATTGTTCTACAAGAATGGTGAATCCACAACTGTTACATTGCGAAAGTTTCACACGGAGAAAGGACTGAAGACGCAAAAAAGCCCTGTTTCATTGAATGGGATATGGAGTTTAGTACGACATTTTGAGGAAACAGAGAGTTTGGAGGATCATCAACGAAGTGGCAGACCACCCTTGAGAGCGGACCGTGTCCATGTGGTACAAAGTGTCATGAAAGATACGGCAGCCGAAACATCAACAGGGAGTAGCAGTGCTCGTAAAGCTGAGAGAAGAATGGGGATTCCAAAAGTGTCCAATCGACGTACTCTGCATGGAATGTTGGATCTGTATCCATACAAAATCCAGTTATTACCAGTTATTACTTAAATACAGATGCAAGACAAAAATTTGCTACATGGACGCTGGCACAAATGGAACGTAACCCTCAATTGTTGGTGAAAGTCATGTGGATGGATGGGGGACGTCAAACCCTTGTGAGTACCACAGCCAGCCACAACATTATCCTCATGTGAGTGTCTGGTATGGCTTCACCGCGTCTTTTTTTTTTTTGAAGAACCCTGTCTTGTATCCGGCGTGAAAACCTGTACAGTCACTGCAGCACAGCATCTTACGCTTTTGCGTGACCACATTGCAGAAAAGACATGTGTTACCTGTTGTCACCTTCATGCAGGATGGTGTCCCGCCCCACATTACAAGCAACGTCAAGACATTCCTGTTGGAATCTTTCACTGAAGACTGAGTGATAAGACGCGATTGTCATATTCAGCGGCCCTCAAGTTCACCAGACTTGACCCCGGTAGATTTTTGGTTGAGAGGATACTTAAAGTCTCGTGCGTACTGGGGCTCCCCAACCACACTGGTGGAACTGAAAAATGCCCTTCGACTGACTGTCGCTGCCATCGATGGCGACATGCTACACTCAGCTGTAATGAGCGTAGTGACATGCCTATCCCCTTGTGGTGGTGGTAATGTTGAACATCTCTTACTATAAAATAAACGCATAGTGTCATGTTACTGTGATCTGTTTCATTGCCTGTTTCTGTTTGCGTGATTTGAATAAAATGCCTCATGATTTGAATAAAACCTCTCAGTATGACATGCAAGCGCCCTCTGTCAGTTACTTTTAGATTTTTTTTTTTTTTTTTTTAATCGAATGTCTTTCTGACTATACTGGCGCAAACAGAAAATTTTTCCATGCATTCCTTCTTTTATTACGAATTTTTGAGCTTTGCACGAAATTATGATGCACCTGGTACATATAAATATAACTGCAACACCATGAAGGCAATAAGATAATCATGTGTAGTTTACAAATATTTTATGATACAAGGATGAAGTGATTATTATTTTTCTTTTTGGTGTGTGTTATGATACTTAAAACATACAGAGATAAATATGACATACAGTTATCATGGGCAGCAATAACTGCTGTTGTATAGCTGAGGACAGAGTAGATTAGAGCAGCGAGGATAAAATCAGATTTTTCCTTACATTAACTTATTAAACTGTTACCATTCAATGAAGACTTTCAAAGCAATTAAAATTCTACTTAGATGTTACTAAGACACATAATACTACATGCTTTTTACACATAAATTAATATAATAATTAATTAGAAATGATATAAATCATGCATAACTTTATTAGTTAGTAGCATAAAAACATAAAATATCATAGCAGCTTTCTGCTGTTAATAATAGTAAAATCCCTTTAATCACTTAACTATAAATTTGCAAACACATATGTACTATTAAGGAAGAGGGGAATCTTGTAGTTAAATAGTTGAAATGAATACAAATAAGGAATCAAACTAAATATAACCCTAGGTATGACACTTATATCTGTAATTTTACGCAACTTTTTCAAAACAGTTTATCTCATTCTACAAGCATTACTGTTATCTGAATTTAAATACACTGAAAAAGAAAAGTGCTGTTGTCTTTTCAACTGTTAATTAGTTTTTCGATTTGTTGTGTACAATTCCAAAAGCCAAAAAACAACTTTTTTTCAGTTCCCACTGTTAATAAGCTTGCTGTATTTAATGATATCTAAACATTTTTCTCCTCGGCATTCCTTCATAAGAGCTATTGATTTCCACTACTGAAGTATAACTTGATCGACATATTTTTTGAAAGGGTTTTGTACAAAGTTGAGGCAAAAATTAGAAATTTCAATGTAATGTCTAAAAAAGCAACATCTTTAAATTTTTCTTTTATTAATTTGAATGCCTCTTCCTTTTCAATGGGTAGTAAGGCCTTGAACTTGATACACTCTAAAACATAAAAAGCAATGTATCAAGGAAGGTGTTATTCAAACTGGGACAAAATTATATATGCCCATACCTTATGATAAAATACGCAAATGATTAACTTTTGGAAGCTACTGACTAACTAGCTGAAGCTCCAACGCAATACAACGAAGCATCCAGATGATCTACAAAACAGAGGACATCCCAATGCTAAGGCATAACTTTTATGCAAATGTGGTTCCATCAAACTACATGATCTGTACCAATACTTTGCAGATATGTTCCCAAATAGTCACCACCTCATATGTGTCACCATTTGAGAGATGATGAGTAAATAGTCTAAAGCAAGATAGTCAAACTAGACATTTGGATCAAAGCAATATTACCATTTGATGAAATCGGCTGAAATGGGTGAACAATGGACATCAGAGCATCAAGAAGGTAACTGTTGACCACGAACTACAACAGGTGAGAACAAGGTGATTGTCCAGT